AAATTTATTAATTTTTAAAAAAATTTCTTTTCTTTCTAATTTACAATCGATAGCTACATTTTTTATATACTTAATAACTATATTTTTTAATACTTATATTGTTTATACTAATAATGATCAAGCTACAAGCTTGAATAATATCATAGTTATTTTGGGCCCTTATATGTATATAATATTTTTTATAGTACACAATTTACTTTTTTTTTTAGCAGAATGTTCGCTACTAATGCTAAAGCTTATACATTATCATGTTACCTGAACTATCAAATAAAATTACAGTATTTTTATCGTTTACTATTAGATTATGGTCATATGATACAAATTAATCGGCTCTCAGCTTCATATCGGCTTTAAGGGTCTAGAGCTGAGCTATTAGTAAACCCAGAGCCAAGCCATTAATCAGCTCGGCTTAGCCATTTGGCTTTTGGCTTGACTCAAGCTATTTGCATCACTACTTAGAAGGCTTGATAGTGAGATTAGGGATGGGTTTAGCTACAAATGGCTACGATCAACTATAAGCAGATTGCTAAATCTTGAAATAAATTTTTTTTTATAAGCCATTAATTAAAGTTGTTCAGAGGTAAATTTCAGCAATAGTTACTTATAAGACAGATTCCCTAAAATTCAAAATCTTAAACTCCATCATTAGTTATAGACTAACTCGACTAACTACATGATCGATAATGATTTTAAATTTAAGAGGTATCTTATAAAGTAGCTATGACTAAAATTTACTTCTAATAACTTTAATTAATGACTTATAAAAAAAAATCATTTCAAAATTTAGCAATCTGCTTATAGATGATTGTAGCCGAACATATCTCTAAGTGAGATCTATTGACACATTGAACCTGGACCCGGTAATGCAAATTTAGTTCACTGACGTTCATTTCACCAACAATTAATTTACCAACAAGTTTATTCATTGACAGTTTATTTCACTGACAGCTACAAAGTAATTCTGTTTATTGTGTTAGGGTCAGACTAGAATTAGTATAATCTATAAAAAAAACTTACTAGAAAAATATGTTATTAATGAAATAACAGTCGATGAAATGAACATATTGGTCAATTAATTGTTAGTAAACCAATTTGTCTGTAAATTAATTATCAGTAAACTAACTGTCAGTGAAGTGATTGTTGGTAAAATAACTCAGATCCTTTGGGCTCTTTCAGAGGGGTTGTTGCTTAATTCCTAAAAGCTATTTACTTGACAGGCCACTTACTCGACATCACATAGAGTTAGGGTTAGCATTTGATTAGCTGCAAGTATATATTTATAGCAATTTGTTACCTTTGTGATGTTGGGTAAGTGACCTGCTGGATAAATAACTTTTGGGAAATCATACCATAATCTTCAGAAGGTTGTTGAGCTATCCAGTTAGTTGGAATTAGTAATGACCTATAGGAAGTTAGCACTTTAACATAGAAAAAGAATGAGCCTGTAAACGAATAAAGTTGTCTGATCGAGCAATAATAACTCAAAATTACAAATACTTGCTATTAAGTATAGCTACATTAGTAAGTATAAAGATTATTTATTAATTGGTAGAATTAAAATCAATAACAAGTTCACAATTCAAATTCATAAATGCATATCAAACTATATATTTTAGTCGATGAGTATAACAAAGATTATTTATTAATCAGTGAAATTAAAGTCGGCAAAACAAGTTTACAAGTCAAGATTATAAATACCTACTTACCACTAAGTAAAAAGATTAGTTATTAATCAGTAGAATTAATTCGGAAAAACAAGTTCATAAATTAGAATCATAAATACCACTTACCACTACATGTAAATCATTATTTGGCTAGTAAATAAAAAGACTGGATAATTAAAATCAGATGGTACACATTTTGCTGACAATCACTTCACCAACAGCTTAGCTGACAATAATTCACAAACAAGTTTATTTCATCGACAATTAACTTATCAACCAGTTCATTTCACCGACAGCTTATTTTATTGACAAAGTAATCTGGTTATTGTTGTTAGTGTTAGATTAGAATTAGAGTTTAAGGTTAGTGTAATTTATAAAAAATACTTGTCAGTGAAATGAGCTGTGGGTAAAATGAACTTGTTGGTAAGTTAATTGTGGTGAAATAAACTTGTCTGTGAATTAATTGTCGGTGAACTAAGCTGTCAGTAAAATAACATGTATCCATTAAATTGGCAAGTCACAACTTAAATTTATTCATATTAATTTGGTTGGTGAGTTTAAGGGTCAATTTTTAATTAGCAGCAAAACAAGTTTACAATTCAAATATTTATTTATTATTACTTTTCTTACATTAGCTTAGCCGGTGCATATAATAATAAATTTTGCTTTATTTATAAATTATCTGCGGAGAACTTTTATTGATGATATACTAAAAAAAATTTTTTAGTTTTTCACCCCACTAACCTGGCCGGGTAATAAAAACTAATTGTATAAGTTTGCATAGCCTTATCTTCATTCAATATTTCAGGTTCATCCATATCTATTTTTTGTACTGCTATTATGTCATCCATATCGTCGAAGTTACTATTATCATCACTATTGGCCTCATCTGCACAATTGTCAATTAGTACTTTGCACACCCAACTTCTAGACATGGTCGACACCACAAAAGAAGTGGATCTTGTAAAGAAGGAGATGGTGCATCAATATTCGGTTCCTTTAAAACCCAAAGAGCACTGTGCTCTTGTATTCTACAGCATGTCTAACAGAATATCAAAGCTAGCTATCTCTATCACATAGAAGCCTTGTTGAACTACAATATCTTCTATATCGACTTTCATATCAAGTATGTAACCCACAAATTGACTGACCCTATTATCAGCCATTCATCCTCTACTACACACTTGTTTCTATTCTAACTCTCTTTTTACAGCATATTTTTTTAACATGAGGTTGATGTGAGAACCAGAATCGATTGGGGCTTTCACTGTATCTCCATTTATCTTGACCAACTAGACGAGCACAACCTTATTTGATTTAGATTTATCATCATGCAAGTCATCTTGTGTGATCCTTATTTTTATATTTTGATCAGGGATGGTCTTCTTTTTCCATCATGTCAAAGCTCTCGTTATTTCTGATCGTGCTTTGAGTGATAACTTAAACAACTGTCCAAGGATAAAAGTAATCTCCATGCCAGACAGCCTTTTTAGTAGATCAAGTTCTTCAGCAAGGTCAGTGAATGGTATATACATCACATTTTTACGCGATTTTGTTTGTTTAATTCCTTGCTTAGGTTCTTCGATTTTTTTTTTCCTAACGGTTCGATTGATTCAGTAACCTCATTCTTCCTTTTCTTTTTCCAAACGCTTTTATATCACCACACTCATCATCGTCTAATAGTTCAACCTTTAAATATTTACCACTAATTGTGGAACCTTTCTCTGTAAATTCTACAAGACGTATATTAGTGTTATTGAATGTTATGGCCTTATTGGTCTGACTTTCACCCTTGTTTTGGTTCGGACAATTCTTTACGATATGGTTTTCTTGCCCATACAGATAATATGTATAGAGCTTGTTAGCTTTCTGCTGAGTTTGTTTTCGATTCAGATCTTTTATAGTCTTGGTCACTGTATGTTGAATCATGTTTTCAATATCATTTCGATTTAATTTTTCTTCCCGTTCTACACAGTTGATACTCAATGCTGCAGGTTCATTCATGATAACATCTAGATCTATATCCGATTTACTAAGTTGTGGGGTTTCATCAGATATATTTGAGTCTTTATGTTTCTTGTCTCTATTGTGCTTCTCCATCT